CCTTTCTTTTTTAATTTCGATGCTTCGAAAAATAACGTAATTAAGGAATTAAAAGTATAAGTATTATGTATGTAGAATTAAGTTTTCATTATAAGATCTAGACGTAAAGATTTTTGGGATTGTGCTGTTTTTAATCACTTTTTAAATAATTTTTTTTTTATAAATAGTATAGATGTTTAATAAAGAACTTGGTGAGCTCTTCCAACATAAATTGTTAAAATTATAAAAATTAAACGTACAATCAACAGGTATGTATAAGTATACGAAATACGTGTAGTAAGAAATTCTACGAAAAAATTTCTTTAAAATCTAAATGGATGGCTCAAAAACAAAGGCCACAAGCACTATTTTATCATTTTTATAGAAGCTTAGGGTGCATTATTTTTCGATTCACCCATGTAGTTTTCAAGAATTCTTTTAATTCACACGTGATTGAAGCTATGCGAGCGCGCACGCACGATTTCAGAGGACACAGATTGGTCGCTCGTTGCATCACCAGATGCCGTAAATTTTTCATTTTGTATGCATTCCGGTGCATGTCCGCGAACATACGTTTTCCTAGCGATGATAACTGCAGTTTATTTTATTTTTAAATCTACTGATCTTTTTACCTCGCACTTTTTTTTCCTTGGTTTTAAAAATAACCACACAAGTACAGTACCGAGCTAACCAAGTGACCACAAGCTCGTCTGTGAATCAAAAATATTTTTAAACGCGCATATGAAAAAAAAAAAAAAAAAAAAAAAAAAAAAAAAAAAAAAAAAAAAGCGTTCGAGTGCGTGACGTGTTTGTAAGTACGTGCAGTTGCACAATCAGCGACGGTTCGTGCTCTCGCAAACGTGACAACTTACACATGCATGTAATTTTTTTTTTTATGTTTATATGCGCTAGTCAGACATTTTTCGTCCGCGAGAAAGTAGAATAAACGCAAATGCTTTGTTTTTCGAACAGAAGAAAAAAAAAAAAAAAAAAAAAAANCATGCACGGAACGTAGATTCAAGACGAAGCGAGAGTGACCTGTTTGGTCGATACCGATTTCCACTCATCCGCGCGTGCAGCGGAACAAAAAAAAAAAAAAAAAAAAAAAAAAAAAAAAGCGTTCGAGTGCGTGACGTGTTTGTAAGTACGTGCAGTTGCACAATCAGCGACGGTAGAGGGGAAAAAAAAAGTTTGAAAATACGTTGCATTCACAACGTGGAAGCGTGCAATTTCGATGCTTTGAAAAGCTGAATCTGCAGGCTGCCTTTTTACTCGCTCGTGTAACAAATGAGGCCTGGAAACAGTCATACCTGTAGTACACACATGTACACACATAAGCACGTATAATTAAATTGTAGTTAACGACTAGATGTATACAATAAGATGCTTTGTCAACCTTGTCTCGATGCAGCTGCTTTTCTTTTCCTTTCTCTCCCCCCCCCCCCGCTTTGTCTTATTGTTGTATGTGCTTGTTTTGTATTTTAACGACGAATTACCGATCATTTTCTAGATTTAGATTGCGATGACTCTATTTCTCGAATGGTTTGAAACCAAGAGGTGACAAAATGTTTTTTTTTTTTCCCAAATAAGATCAACCGATTGCAGTATGATACAATAATGCTTACGTTTTTCCAAGTTGGAGGTAAATGTCTGCGATCGGTGGTGGTAAATTGATGTTATTCCTCTTATCGCGGGTAACTCTGGGTTGTTCGATGGTGAACGAGTGCAAGGTCGTAAATAATTCTGATGATAATTTATAACTGAGTGTATTGGTTAACCGATTTATAATGTCAGAATTGAAGATTTGAAGACTAGGTTTTCGATGATAATTTTAACAATTTTGCATTACAGTGTTCGTCACGAGAGTGACGTGTAGTTTTTCTTTTTCATCGTTAGACTTGGACACGATTATTACATGGATTTTCAAACACCTTGAAATGAATTTTTTTTTTTTTTTGCTGAATAACAAGTACTTTTTTGCAGAAAATTTTTTTTTTACTCATCGCTATTTATTCACAAAACACTACGGGAACATATTTTTCCCAGCAGATGAGTACAATAATGCATTTTGTGTATTCAAGTATGTTGTTCAGTATGTTAATAAAATATTTAAATTCTTTGACTATTTTCCTTCTAAACAGTTTGTTCTCTCAAATTGCAATGCACTGTTTATGCTGGACAATTTTTTTTAGATAGTTAATAGTTAAATTTTTATAGTTCAGTTACAAGTGGTATTAAAAATTATTTTTTTAGGATATATATTGCATCATACATTTATTAGCAAAAAAGAAGCATATTTTAAAAAATTGAAAAAGTACCGGTGATTAAATCTGTTTGTCGTGTATACACATATGCAGTTTATTTGGGTGCCACGGGTTTTAAAATACAAAGTAGAAAAAGACAAATCAACGTACCAGCTAGACTTACGACATATTTGGGCTATTTTGGTGCATTTTCTATCAAACGAATTTCATAGAAAAGCTATAATGATAAGTTTTTGCAAAGAAAAAAAAAAAAATTGCATTTGTAATAATTTTTTGAAATTAAAAAATTGTTCCACT